AGATTCTGCAGAGTGGGAGAATAGAATCATGGGTCCTTTTAAAGGCGTGCACTTATTAATCATTATATAGATCTGTCTAGCTGGTGCTGATTGACTAATGAATTGCTTTCTCTAATGTATCCACGTTTTTTTTTTTTTTTTAAAGAATCTAAAACAACATTTTAGTGTTTTTGCTTTTCTGTAGATTTCTGGTCAAAATCAGAAATATTTCCCATTTAGTTTTTTGTTGTTGTTATAACCTAGATCCAGATTGAAAAAAAAAACAACTTTTTAAGTCTTAGATTGCGGTCTTGAAATTTGTTAGTTTATCTTTATGTCTCACTCTAACAGTAAGTAGAAGGTGTTGTCTCTAATTAATAAATATGTGTTTTCAAATATGACAGGGATTCTCTGAAGTGTGAGGAAAAACCTCAGAGTTTCAGGGTTTCTGTGGGTCATTAAATTATTATTTTAATTAAGACCTTAATTGGCATTAAAATCCATTAAATGTGATTATTGTGTCATTTAAAATGCTTTATTGAAAAAAAAAAAAAAACATTTATAAAAACAATTTCAGCAGATAATTCAGATTTAAGTTGTTCCGCCTGTTTGTGCGGAGCTGCTTCCGGTTGATCGTTAAGCCGTTTGTCCGGAAAAGAAGCTTGAGGCGGAGAAAAGGCTAGAGAATAGGAAAATGCTAATTCCAACAAAAATGGCTGGAAAACCAGGAATTTGGGACATGGCTGAAGCCTGTCAGTGGTAAAGATGACTAAGATAAGAAGTTATATATTTATATATATATATATATATAGAGAGAGAGAGTCATAGGTACTTGTTGATGGCATTAAAATTACTTGCAATTGCATTAAAAAGCATTAAATTAGAGTTACTCCTTCCTGTATATATACCCCTGAGTTTCAGGGTTAACCGTTGGACATTGAGGCAGAGAGAAACAGGCAGAGGGTGAGGCACAAAAAGGGAGACGGGGGCCTGAAGGGGGGAACCCTCTGAGAACAAGTGTGCTGGAGAGCAAAAGCAAGACGAAGAAGAGAAAGCCAGAGAGACTGTGGGGGGAATGTGCAGACACAGCGTTTTTCTTCTGAACTCTCCAAATTAATAATCAGCAGAGCTTCAGACCAGCCAGGATTACTCGCTGGCTGCCTCCAAGCACACACACACACCCCACCGACACACACACACCCCACCGACACACACAGGAGCACTGGCTGGGCCGAGCTGGGCCTGGCACAGGGCTTCTGCTTGTTCACTAGTTTTAATCCTTTATTGTGCTACGCTCACGGAAACTGCCAAGGGGGAACCCAGAGCGGGACGGCATGTCGGGAGGGACATAAAGATAGAAAAGAAAAAGAAATCCAGTCAGGAAAGAGATTTTTTTTTAATTCCTCTTTTCTTTCTTCCCAGACGAAGACATGTTTGATTTAATCTGTGGGGATTTGTAAAGTAGATTACAATTTTATCCCTCTTATTTTTTTATGTGCATCAAATTAATTTGTAACTTCATTTCAAATGGTTGTTTATTTTGTTGTATTTTCTAAAGATGAAGTGCAGAAAGTTTTTCTTTCCTTCCAAATGTAAAAGGAAGACATCACCACCTCTTTTTTCAAGCTTTTTAGGACTTTTCTAAAGTTGTGTATCGGAGCTCTTCCAGTTGAAACAGATCTGTGCTCTTGTTTCAGCTGTTCCTGTGCCAGAGCTCACTGAGCAGTTCACACCACCAGAGACGGCTCCCCCAGCCCTCATCAGCCTGATCCAAGCCTTAGAACACAGAGGTACATTTATTTACATTCAGCAGCTTCTTCATCTACTCATTAATGTTCAGGAGGCTGTAGAGCTCGGCAGAAACTGCCTCCTCCTTTTAGATCTGTTTCTCCTATGTGCCCTACTTGACAAATTCTTCAAATGACAAAATACCAAACAACATTTCAGATTAACCCAGGGTTTGGTCCTAAAAGAATATTTTTACTTTAACTTAAAACAAAATCATTCTTCAAAAGGAAAAGAAAAGATGGTGAAAGAACCTGGTTCCTTAGGTATGATGGAGTATGAGGGCCGTACTAAGACTTTTACCTTAAATAGTGAGAGAAAAGTTAGACTATTACAAGAATAAAGTCATAATATTACAAAAATCATAATATGAGAATAAACTTATTGTGTTATGATCCAAAAAGGTTGTTTTGTTTAGTGGAAAGGAGATATAAAGTGACACAATCAGTTCAAAAACCTGCAGTATTTTAACGAAGGTTGAACACGGCTCTTTCATAAAGAATAAAATAAATAAACTTGGGAAACTTCTATAACTTCTCATATTATTACAACTTCATTTGTATGTGTTCCAATTTTATTTTAAAATTATTCCTTATTATCTCTTGATATTGTAGCTTTATTCTCATAATGCAACAACTTTGTTTTTGTAATATTACTTTGCTCTCGCATTATAGCTGAAGTTCTATAATGTAACTTTAATTATGTGTTGTTTCAAATTATTCTCATAATGTTACAACTTTATTCTCAAAATGTTACGTCTTTAATCTCGTAATGTTATGATTTTATTCTCATGATGTTACGACTTTATACTCATAATGTTACGACTTTGTTCTCATAATGTTAC